CTGCTTCGGCAAACCCAGACGTAACATCTGCCATCTGATCCGCATCAATCTTTATGGTATTAAATAGGGGATGAATGAAAATCCCTCATTTCAACAACAGACACAGAACAGATGTGGAGCTCACCATGAGTTGTAGTGATTATAAAGCCAGATTAAGAAGGGGGCAGGTGTCGGTGGCTGTTGGGCATCACATGTGGTGAAATCAGACGTTGCTAAGATGCCACTTTGGAGTGTGGACCAGACTTTGCTCCTCATAGGAGGATCGAGAGCTTTTGCGCCGGCCAGCAGGGCTACTTGGACAGAACTGAAAACGGGAATGTCACGCCGGCACGTCTTGAGCTCGGGGCCAAGTCGGACGAGTTGGGTGCCTATATGATGAGGCCCCCCAGGCTACTTGTTTTCAAACAAGGAAAATAAACTTCCCATCTTCTCTGCAGGATTATTCATACCCAGGGTAGACCATGTAAAATGTGACAGTAGGGGTGGGGGGGGGGGCACACCCCCTTTCCTTGTCCAGAATGGTGGGACATTAAGCCTGAAAAACACTCCTTGTCAAGTCTTGGCAGCTCTGTTAGTTAGGGGAGGGGGTCCAGCCCTGTGGAAGTCACCACTAAAATGCCACTTAGCTACCACAGTTCCAGAACTACAGGCACTGGTCAGAAGATTAGCTGGCTCCAGTTTGCCCAGTGATGAAATGCCCTATTTTCCCCACAGGCCCTGGCACCATAGCAAGACGGTAAGTGAGCAGGAAGTGCGTGTTTCGGATTGGTGGCAGGAGGATCAGCGGATGGGGAGGAGAGTGGTTGTTGACATAAGGCACCTAGGGAGGACACTGTTCCCGAGGTTACAGCATCCCCAGGAAGACCAGAAGCTGCTGATGGAACTGACCTCGTTTTGCAGCCCTGATGCTGCCCTGCACCTCCTTTTCCATTTGCCCTGACGGCGCCCCCACCGGGGGATGCCCCTCATCGGTGTGCCTCTGAAGGCCATCATGTTCTGGGGATCCACACTGCACTCCACACTGCACCCGCGTCCCCAGGCCCAACTGCTCCACCTAAACCAGGGCCTGGTACCAGCTTGAACTCCACAGAATGCAACCACACATGTAGGAAGTGTGTTACTGGGTCCAGTTCATACTGCCTCTGTTCATCTATCATTTTCCATAACTATACACCCAATGCAGGGTCATACCATGACTGGACCCTATGCCAGGGAGCAAGGGCACACAGCAGGGGATATTCTCGGTGGATGCCAATCCATCACATTCCTACACATACAGGCTTAGATATATAAGCTGAACATGTGATTTATCATCACAGTCATTTTGCTTTCACTGGATAATATTGATGTATTATATATGAGGAGTTTTCGGAAGAACAGGGAGATGCTTTTTTAAGACAGGAAGTCTCTTCTGCAGAGGAAGTGTTTTAAATTACCTCAGAGGTACAGGATGATACGCAATGTCCCTATTTATTTCCTCACCCTACCATTCTGGATGCCCTAGAAGAAGATGTTTTGCTTCTGGAAATGAACAATGATACTAGATGTGTAGTGGATTTGTTTGGGTAGAGGTTTTAAATAGATCACTGGGGCAAGCGGAACATTTTCGTATGCCTGTCATTCAGTTTCTAACACTTTGTGGAACAAAAACGAAAAATAAGCATAGCAAGTTTACACTGGTGCTGATTGCCATACTGAAGTCAGGACTCCAAAGAGCAAAGAGATTTCTGGAACAATCAAATAGTCATATTGTGTAGATACTGACCTGAGCTTTTATCCCTGATAAATCAGCCAGTTGTTTGGCAAACATGAGTCAGCCTTTTTTTTATAGGGCCAACCTAACTTAATCCAGAACCAGAAAAGAAAAACACAACTAGCCTTTTTACAATCACTTTTGGGGGCCTATTTGCATATTATTTTGAAGCTGGGCTTCACTCTTGCTATTGCATCTTCCTTATTTATACTCATTGTGTATTTATGCAGCAGCACTTTTATCTAATGTGACATACAGTTGAAAAGCAGGGTCAGTCAGTTCCTGGAGTAGATGGAGATACCCTGGAGGACCCTGCTGAAAGGCACCAACAATGACACCACTCTGCCAACCTTGGGATTTGGCCTGGTGATGTTCTCATCGCGGCAAGGGTTAGGGTCCTAACCTACTGAGCCAAACACCACCCCTAAATGTCACCAAATCATCAGCAGGACTTGACCCTGGGTCCTTTTTGAGCTTCAACACACCAGCTATGTCATTTAATCCGGCTCTTTGGCTGCATATCTTGTAGGATGGGATCTGAACCAGCAACCTTCTGATCAGAGATAAAAAAAAGTCCCAACCCCTAGAGCTCCACATTGGCCAAGACTCAAACCTGAATCAACTGTTTGGAAAACAGGTATGCAAACCACCAGTGCTTTGGGTGTGATACTAGATGTGTAAGAAATATTTGAAAAATTGAAAGAAGTTTTCATTGGAGTTCCCCAGCTAGCAATTAAGCATTTTCATTGTAAACAGGGTAAGGAGATGCAGTGTGGGCAGAGAAGACTTGTCAAGTAAACGTTCAACTCCACACTCCCTGCTAAACTCTCTAGTCAGCAGTTGGACTAAAATGCATTCTGCTGAGGTCCAGATTTCGGGAAGGTGACATTCTTAAAACAAGTGCAGAAGAGCGATCTGAACAAATATTTTTTCTTTATTCATAAGAACCAAGCACAATACTACAATGTCTGCAAAGGTAGGTGACATTTCAGTCCACGTAACATACGTTTTGAACAAATGTTAAATCAATATCAGCCTCTGCTAAAGCTCACAGTCCTGGAGGCAACAGCATGGTCAGTCAGAATGACTCTTTTAGCTTATTACCGAAGGCATTTAAGTCGGGTTCAGTTTGCTGGAAACTCGTATCTGCTCATTTTTGTTGCTGTACAGCTACCATATCTGTGACCTTAAGTTGACTTTAATATGGGACAATGGAATCTGTGGAAAGGTTCCCCAAGCAAGTCTGGCAAAAGCAGGGGGGGTAAAATTATACTCTCAAGGAGGAGAAAAGACAACAGCTGCCTAAAAAAAATGGTGCCAATGCTTACTATGAAATATTTGGTTGAAGGGTGTATAAGCTATTTACTCAAAATGTTCTTTTGTTATGATAAATGCCAGCAAAAATGATTGCCTGACAGAAAATTTCACCCAGAACTTGCAGCGAGTCTGTCTGTCTTCCCTCTGAGCTCTGAGTCAGAGACACAGGGGTGAATGGCTTAGTGGTGACCCCAGCTATCAACGCGACAGCTTCGCTTCATTGTTCAATAACAACGGAATCCAAAAAGACGACCGAATGATGAAAACTTGTACTTCTTACTGCCAGCCTCATGAGGATGAGGACGAGCTTCCTCCTTGAGTCTGCTTCCTCCCAAGGCTTCTTGCTCTCTCTCAGGGAGGGTCACCTTGCCATTGTCACCTCCGGCTTACTCTCTGGGGACTTTGGGCTTGGGACTCTCTAAAGTGCTTTGTGACTAAGAGCTATACAAAGAGAACTGAACTGAAGATGCCTGACATCCTACCTGGTAACCCCAGAAATGCTGTCTAAACAGTTTTTACACATACATTTGGTGGATTTATAGACAAATGTACACGTTTTGGTAATCACACAAATCCATTTTTATGTACCATAGTTTTACTCAGTTCAGCATGGGTGCTACCACAAACACACCAATCCGTCTCAATGCTTGGCTAACACATTCAAAGTAAATTTCCCTACAGTAATTCACTGTCGTAATTTTAATAATACATTTCAGGAAAAGTATTTTGTTCAAGACTTGAACAAGCAACCTTTATAGTACTAACCTACCTCCATAACAGACTGACTTCCTTCAGGACTGTCCCGAATAAGCCCTATATCACAACATCGCACCAAGCGCGGTCAGCACTGTGAACAACATCCCATAATTCCTGATATCCCAATGTTCAGGTGTCTCACTCATACCAAGGTCAGCATTCCTGCCAGCTTCCCATAAGCTACACCACCACATCTCCTCCATGCTCTTCATACAATGCGTCACTGTCCAGTTGCAATCTGTAGTTGTGTAATTGTTCTTTACGCTGTCATTTCTACTCTGGCAGATTGTAGCGAGGCTGCCTGCTCGATTAACGAACCATAACAACAGCAGTATCTCTACCGTATTTATTTACTGTTATTTAATTACACAAAAAGATCAGAAAGCAATTGAGTTGAAGGTCAGACAGTAAAATACAGCTAGCTCAATTCTGCTTTTAAAAAGAGATATTTAATTTGTATTTTAAGCACTGGAATGTTGATGCAATAGGTTTCAGCTCTAGCTCGCTTGCTAAAAGCTGTAACTTCCAAACCCTTGTCAGCTCTATGCCCCCCCCCCCCCCTTCTACTCCCTCACCCACTGGTGGCTCTCTTTGAAATTCAGGGGCCGTTACGTAAAAGGAAACAAAGAAAGACGGGTAAGTAAGGCCACGCGATGGATCACACGCTATAACAAAAACACACAGACAGTTTCCTGTCCCCTGCAAACGGAGACCAGCTCTGTTGTGCCTTTTTAAAAATGTCTCAGTTGGCAAAAAAGGGAAACATGATGACACATAATAACAACTCGAGACACCAGATCATCATTGGCACTGTCAAGTTCCACAGTTGAACGTTGAATGCAACCTCCTGCTTCCAATCTAATTAATTTTCATATAGCACCCATCCCCAACCAAGCGGCCCAAAAGTGCTTTATTTTCTCGATACTCTGACCATCCTGTTAGACACACTCCGGGAGTAACTTAAGTTATATATCTGAGATTTGTATAAAGGTTTTACATATGTACAATAAATGGGAAATATCTCTTATCTATCGAGAAAGGATAACACACACACTGAGGTTGGAAAATGGCCAAGTTCCTTTTTGACTGTAAAAGGTTCCTCAGTGGAACTCAGTTTGAGTTTGAAAACCTCTGCTTTCTGTCTTGGTCAATTTTTTCTTCATTTAAAACTCATCAGTACAGTCCCCAAGAGCTGCAGGTTTGTTTTTTTTTTTGTTTTCTCTACATCATTACACACAAATAGAGGTTTACACCTGAAGGTTTCCCAACACCTTGTGAACAGCTGAGAGGAGTGCAGGAATTCAGGGCTGTGCGGCTTGCATCCCTGTGGGAGAGAGATAAGGAAAGAGCGGAACTGTGGGGCTGTGAGAGCCAATAGACACTCCTGTGATTGATTATGAGGTGTGAGGGCGTGGGGGCCATGAACTGATTCATATGCAGGTCATTGCGGCGTCTTCTTTCTGGTCCTGGATTTAGGATTTGGAGTCTGCAGGTGCTCTCTCTCTCTATTCCTCCCAGCCCTTGTGAGAGCAGTTATTTCACATATTTCCCTCCCTGTGTTGTCACTGTTTTCTGTACGAAAGGTAGAGCAGGACGGCTGGGTATCCGACAGTCTCCGCAGGAGGGCAGTTTGTACGCTGAGTGCATGCTCGTCGAGTTACTCGGTGTCACGGCTCGCGACGGGCCCTATAGAGCCGGTCCAAGCAGGACGCAGGACATGCCGAGTGCCCATGACCAGATGGCGGCCCGGTCACCTGCGGAGCGGTCACTCCCCACTCCCTGTGAGGTGCCAGAACTTTCCGTGATGAGGTCCAGAGGTGTCTGTGAAAGCGGGAAAGACCAAAGTTTCAAATGAATCAAAGTGAACCCAACTGTGCCTACAGCAAACACGTAAGCCACGTGACATTAGCTATTTACGTGCGTCTGTGTCATCCATTCGCCCAAAGAGCTTTCAGGTCCCAAGCTGTATGTGAGTGGGTTCTGGTCGGGCACGGACACGCAGGGGAAACTACATCTATCATCTAAGCATCACCCCCCCAAAGGAGAGGCTCCCGGGCAGCCAGGTCCTCCGAGGACCAGTCTCTGCGTAACCACTGCCCTCCCAACTGAGTTCATGTCACCATTCCATTACCGACCCCCCCAGCTTAAGCACACTTGTATTCAAATTGGCCTCGCACACACTGAATAGCGCCTTTCATGCTCGTATGCCTATAATAAGTTACAGATTTCTCGGTTGATAATGATGAATCTCCACATACTCGACATAGTTTAAGATCCATTCTCATTCCAACGTCTGACTACAGAAATTATTCAGTTCAGATCAGCAGTTAAAGGAAAATTGAAAGTCTATTGAATACTATTCATCATGGCCATTAATATGTTTTTAAATTTTTAAAACAATTTTAAAACAATAAAAAATTGATAGTATAACGACTAAACTAACACTTGTTTAACAACCCTTGTAAATGGGGTCAAAGTTATGGGATATACAAAATACCCTGGTACTGTATATCACAGAGCCTATCGGCTCTTCCTTTCAAATGAGGCGCTACTGTTGTGTTTTATTTTACATGGTTTACTGCTGCCATTGGTGTGAGTTCGAGTCCATGGCATCAGGTGGCACTGTGGTCTACGGAAGCAGGCGGGTTATGAGTTCAGACACGGGGGTTGGGTTCTCTTGCACCACAGAATGCCACTCATTGTGGCGACTGCTAATTAATTAGGCACTTCTTATGATGTTTGTTATTCCAGTAAGATAGAAAATGACCAGGGCATTACCAAAGCTGATTGTAATTAAAACTGTTGATATTGTGCACTGTCTGTCATGCATCTAATAAGCTGACTGGGAGGAGATCCGCAATGAATAAAATCACAAGGACTTTTTTTGTTTGTTTTTGATCAGTTTCAAAGGACAAGGACAGTTCTGACAATGAGCCCCTGCTGGATTTTTAAAGATGTTTCATGACAGTACAGCAGTACTGAATTTATCAGAAGGAGCAGAGTAATTAGGAGTGTGAGACAACCAACATGCGGCTACAATACACTGTCTGTAGTGCGCCGCTATGAGATGGGATTGCAACTGTGTGCCGGCCATCTTGCACTCATTGCTCTTCCTCCCTCAGCCCGCATGCAGGCACACCGCTATGAGATGGGATCAAGCCACGTGCAGACTGTCTCTCGCTCCCTCGCTGTTCTTCCCTCAGCCCGCCTGCAGGCGCACCACTATGAGATGGGATCGCAGCCGCATGCAGGCTGTCTCACGGTCCATCACTCCTCCTCCCTCAGCCCACACAGGCCCCCGCCGGAGGCAGGGCACCTTCCAGCCAGGTGATTGATGCCACGCACCACTGAAATTAAAGCCGGAATTTTCTTGTGGGGGGGGCGGTTGCGGTGCAGTCCCATCTCTCAGCCTTTGATTGCTTGTCTGGGCGCGGATAGGGAGAAGCCACCATTTATCACGGTGTCTAGAGACTAATAATAAGGCTTTGGTAGAGGGCCTAGGCTGCTGTTAGCCCGTAATACAATATTTCTCTATTACTGCCCTTGGAAATTTTCAAATGCTGCATTTATTTATTTATTTATTTATTTTTGTCTGACACACTAAAAAAATTACCTTTGTAAATATAATAATGGATCATAGCCCTTTTCCCAGTGTTTGGAGGCTTGCATTCTGAGACACGTTGGGGGTCAGTAGATGGCGTAGCTATTTAAGATTCTGTCTTACAAAACCTCTTACGCTCCTATTTCTTTATCATCTCATCAAAAATTGCAAAGATTATTTACGGGGTGACTGATGCTGTGCCAGCCCCCCCCCCCCCCCCCCCCTCAAACAGCAGTGCAGCTTCCTGCAGCAATCGCAGTGGTGGCTAACAGCAGTGCAGCTTCCTGCAGCAATCGCAGTCGTGGCTAACAGCAGTGCAGCTTCCTGCAGCAATCACAGTCGTGGCTAACAGCAGTGCAGCTTCCTGCAGCAATCGCAGTCGCGGCTAACAGCAGTGCAGCTTCCAGCAGCAATCGCAGTCGCGGCTGTGACTCCATCTGTATATAAGCGCATTACAATCCCACTGACAAAGACACGCTTCCCCTGTGGCGGGAAGGGCAGGGTGACCCTGCTTGGGGTCCAGCGTCCTGGCAGCATGACGAGTGTCTCCTGCTGCTGGCACTGTTCCTCGTCTGGGATCTCCTCTGATTGAGCTCCACAATGCCACAAGAAGTGAAATGGGGGGAGGGGGATACAATGGGCAGGGAGTTTCCAGTGCTTGAATATGGAAGTCCTGAGAGTTTTTAACATAGTTTAATTACCACCTAATTTACAGTAGAATCACAGCCATACCACCTGCAGTTCAGACTAAGTAATCCATCGGAAGCTAAGCAAGTTTGGGCCTGACTGGTACTTGGATGGGAGACCAACTAGGAAGAGGTGTTGGTGTATCCAATAGGGGAGCCCATCCTATGATATGTGTGGATCATAATGGTGCAGTGATGGGGACACTGTGGCCAGCAGGGGAGCCCATCCTATGATCTGTGTGGATCATAATGGTGCAGTGATGGGGACACTGTGGCCAACAGGGGAGCCCATCCTATGATCTGTGTGGATCATATTGGTGCAGTGATGGGGACACTGTGGCCAACAGGGGAGCCCATCCTATGATCTGTGTGGATCATAATGGTGCAGTGATGGGGACACTGTGGCCAACAGNGTGCAGTGATGGGGACACTGTGGCCAACAGGGGAGCCCATCCTATGATCTGTGTGGATCATAATGGTGCAGTGATGGGGACACTGTGGCCAACAGAGGAGCCAATCCTATGATCTGTGTGGATCATAATGGTGCAGTGATGGGGACACTGTGGCCAACAGAGGAGCCCATCCTATGATCTGTGTGGATCATAATGTTCCAGTGCAGTGACGGGGACACTGAGGCCAACAGAGGAGCCCATCCTGTGGTCTGTGTGGATCATAATGTCCCAGTGCAGTCACAGGGACATTGTGGCCAACAGAGGAGCCCATCCTGAGGTCTGTGTGGATCAAAATGTCCCAGTGCAGTGATGGGGAGGGACACTGTGCTGTGAAAATGGTGCTGTCCTTCGGATGACACATAAAACTGAGGTAGTGACTTTTGGAGGTCAAAAAAGATCCCTGGGCATTTGGGTAAAGAGTAAGGGTGGTACCCTGATGTCCTGGCTAACATTGCCCTTTCAAATCTGGCCTCTTCATCATCCCCTATACTGTATCAAACTGCCCCTTCACCAACTTATCTACTGTGTGGTGAGCATACTGCTGCAGAATGGCTGCCATCTCATTCATTCAGGTGGGGGCTACACATCGGTTGTGGTTGATGTGGCTCCCCATTGCTTCTAAAGTGCCTCGGGTGTCTTCAAAAGCCCTATATACTGTAAATGGGACATTCATTCTTTCGATAAGGTGGCTAACCATCCATCCATCCATCATACAACCACTTATCCTGGTCAGGGTTGTAGGGGGACCTGGGTCTTACCCCAGGCAGCATAGTGTACAAGACTGGGAGTAAAAGCTATATATATGTAATATCAGGACAGAAATACCACTGCTGACAGACACATACCTCCAGGCTAGCACACTCTGAGAAGATGCAGGAGTCCGTCTCGGGCCTGGCAGGCGGGGAAGTCTCTGTAGAGACGCTCATCGGGCCGACGTACGTCTTGGATGAGGGGGTCACCGGCTGGGGCGCGGGGTGCATGCCGGGGTCTGGGCCGTACTCAAAGGCCTGAATGGCGTTCTCTGTGCAGGAGGACAGAGCGAGCAGAGCGAGGCACTGGTTATGCTGCAGAGGATGTAGGGGAGCACGTTGAGTTACAGTCACATCGGACCTTAGAAGTGAGGCAGAAGCCTGGACGTGGACCGTCACCTCAAGCAGAGTTTCCTCATTTTGGCATCACAAGTTCAGCCCCCGGCTGCCAGACCATTTACTTACCTGAAATGTCCAGAAAGGCGGAGTTTCATTTCTGCAGAACGAATCTGTTACACAGAAAGAACTAAATTGACTCCCCCAGCTGTGAACTTGCGTCTGCAGCTCTGCAGGCTTAGATCCCTTGACCAATTATGTTGCCTTGCTTGTGCCATTGAAAGCAAACATACCGGCAGACCTAAAATCATGCTTTGAGTAGTTCTCCTAGTCATCAGTCTGGTTATAACTGGCACTGGTCGGATCTCTAGCAATCACTTACGTTATATCACCTTATGTGGATGGACACTTGCAATAGGACCCTTGACACAGAACCGATTTCCTTAATTACTGATCAACCTGCTGCTTTTATAGGTTATAGGGTTTTGCATTCTTTTTTCACGATAAAGATCATAATTATGATCTCAAGGTAACTACTCTGCTGTTAGCGAGATCCGCTGGAGAGATTTAAGAACACTGCTGGAACATAGGCCTCTGTTAGACATAGATAGTATCGTGTGCTGACATCAGATTGAAAAGTTTTTATTTTAATTTGTGTCCTTCTTATACACTCTGTGGTCAGTTCATTAGGTAGACCAGCTTGTTAATGCAATTGGCCTGCTTCTGCAAACAGTGAATAATATGACTGCGACTGAAAAAATACAGAACGCACACAGGGTCAAGTGGTTCATTTACTGTTTGGCGAAGCGCTGCAGGAGATGCATATTTTAAATGTGGTGTGATTGTTGGTGCTAGACGTCGTGGATCTAGGACCACAGACACAGCCACCATTCTGGAATTTTCACACATTTTTACTACAGTGTCGGCAAAGAATAGCATAATGAACCCAAAATATGCAGTTAGCGGCAGCTCTGCGCACGAAAGCACCTGGTTAATGAGATAGATCAGAAGAGAATGGCCAGGCTCATTAAGGCTAAAAGGCCACAAGTGCAAAAATAACAGCTCAGTACAACAGCGATGTGCAGAAAGGCTTCTGTGAGCATACAGCTCCACCCCTGAAGCAGAAATGGACGCAAAAATGGGTCCCAGCTAAGTGGGCTTAATAAAGCGGCCAGTGAGTGTATTACTGGGTATCACTTAGGTGTTTAATGTGTATATTATTTTGATTTATTACCACAGCATTGTTGAATTCTTGAATCTGATTGGTCAGAAGGATGTTGATTCATTTTCTTTAACTGCACACATAGTGTCAGTCAGGTGAATCACAGCATTAAGTCAATGCACAATTATAATCCATAATTCTAACCAATGCTGCTTAAAATACCAGCTGTGGAACACAATTTAAAATGAACAGAAATGACAGAGAAATGTTTAATCATTAGCAAGGAGAAAGTAGCTCTATTAATAAATATGTTTTAGGCTCATAAATGTTAAAATAATGTCTTCAGATACAAATGTGTAAAGCCAAATGTATTCTCACTGTGGTATAAGCGGGTTAATGCACTCCAAGCTGCGCATTATACATTTTTAAATGCGCTGCATGACGGCTGGTTTTTACCTCCCCAGTCATGTCTTTAAAAGCATAAAATGCAAAGCTTGTCGTGCACTACTCATGCATAAACATTTACATGTCACTATTGTATAATTTATATATGTTGTGTTACTTTTTATCATTCTCCCAGCCACAGAGATATATTAAGCCAATAAGGAAAAGTTTAAAATGAAGAATTTTGTAAAAAAAAAAAAAAAAAAACATGACACCGTCAAAAAGGCCTAAGACCAAAACGTGCGCTCTTCACCCACGGTGGATTGCCAATAGAAAGACTATAACTGTACGAGTTCAGACCCCATTATCAGTTATATAAAACTGTGAGTTGCAACTGATGTCAATGAAAGCAACTCTGCAACATGAACATTGTGGCTCTCAAAAAAAAAAAATATCGAATACAACCAGCTAACACATTTCAACATCCTGCACGTAAGCGGTCATCTCCTCGGTCGATCAGTCAGCTTTGTCATGGCTCATTCTGCTTTTTAGTATTGTAACAAACTATAAACCCCCCCCCCCGCCAAGTAATTAAAAAACAAACCAATAAAAAAACATGAAACAAACAAAATTTCTCTCTGTCCTCGGGAATGCTCCTGGAGAATGGACAATAAGGGAATATACAGAGTTGTTTGTAATGCTTTGGTGTAACACCTACTAACAGTGCTGTGAGTGCCTTTATCACAGGATGTGCGATGTCTGGTTAGCTGGCAGCCCTGCCTGCGCTCCAAAGGCGCCGTTCTGCGTTATATCTCTCTGTGCCACATACATGACATATCATTGCTTCATTCCTTTCTTTAAAAAAAAAACGTTGCACGCATGAGGTCCTTTGTGCAAGTCCCGACTGAAATGCTCTCTCACCGAGGCTGCAGGACACTTGTATCAGAGCTTGAGGAATGTGGCAATATTACATTTGTAATTATATAATTTAATCACTGTGTCTTTGTTATGAGAAACGGCTAAATGTAGCAATTTAGCACAGCAGCAATTAAAAACCAAACTGAATCATCCGCTGATGTCAATCCTTTTGAGACACTTTTGATGCAGGACCATTAATATTCATAACTACACCAAACAAGCTTCATAAACATTCATAGCCCCTAATTTCCATTATCGTCAGATGACACAGAGCATCAAGTGTGTTATAACTTACTCATTCCTTAAAGGGACTTATATAAACTGTAACAGCTGTGATGACGGTATAAACTTGCTGTGCTGCCTGCATCTGTGGAACATGCCCCAAACGTAGCCAAAATCACAGACCTACTTATTATGCATATATTCCCAGTCAGTGCTGGGGAAGTTACTCACAAAAGCAATCTGTTAAAGACAGATATGGAAAGTTCAGGTCTAGAAAGTTCTAGTCAAACTGGTTGGTTGAAACAAAACCTTGGTCTGCATTTGTACTTTCTGGAACTTTCCACCTCTGTCTGTAGTGGATTGCTTTTGTGGCATCCCCAGCACTGCTCCCAGTTCACGTTCAAGCACCATAGAGTAAATAAAATCAGGGAACAAACAAAAGTACAAAACTTGATACAGATCTATTGAAATTGTCAATTTGCCTAAGAATATGAGTTCTTATAGACCACGAAGGTGCAAACTCTGATGTGGCCGATTAATAAAATTTAGCTTAGGAAGTTATTTTATTTACCACCACCACCCCCCCAAAAAAAAAAACTATCATCACTGGAATGAGAAGACAAAAGCAGTATGCTTTAAGCCTGAGACTTATTCCTTCCTTAAGGGGGTGGTCATGCATAATGCAGGACCCAGACAGGTGACATACTTACTCAGGCAGACGTTGTCCCGGAAGTCCCTGAGGAAGGTGGTGCACTCCTCTTCCTGGTTCCCACTGCCCCGGCACGTGCACCACGGTGAGATGGTGAAGTTGCTGTGGCTGGCATCCATGTAGTTTGGTGTCATGTCCGTCCCTATGGAGTCCCCCCCCCCCAGACCAGATGGGCGTCACACACATGATACCCCATGCGTCCAGGGATGCCTCTATCCTCCTGAGACCCCACCCATTCATTTATGTCCATTGTAGTGGACATTTTGTTTTTGTATCTATCTTTTCACTGATGTAAGGAAACATATTTATTCCTGTTGTACACTAAAGAGGACATGCTGTGAAATTGAAAATAAAAATACATTTGAAAAAATCTAAATTGCAAGATGTCTTATTTCCTCCAAAGACAAATAATCTAAAATTGAAGGACACTTTTTTCCTTGGGTCTCAGGAGGCTATACCAGGAAGTACTCAGGAAGTTTCTGGGGCTCTATGGAATATGTTACGAATTATGGAGATTGGACGTGCACAGAAAGGCAGGTGTATACAGAATATGGTATAAATCAGCAATCACAGGGCAGCTTTGACGCATCCATAAGACCCCAGGGTTTTGAGAAACGCTGGTATAATGAATCGGACTTACCGATCAAGCCGGTGTAGGAGGCCAGGCAGGCCTGGTAGTTGTCGTTGGGGCAGCTGGTGATCGAGTGCACGGTCGTCTCGCAGTTCATGTGAAAATCGGCCAGCCGCGACCTGCTCACAAAGAAAAGGAGTGCAGCAGCTGATCTGGTGAAGACCCCTGTCTTTGTCACTCCTGAACTAACAGGCAGGGCGTTGTGGCCATTGCCGACTGAAGCCCAAGTGGAGTCCAAGGCTATCTTTACTGCTGGTATTCCCTCATCACCCCCCAGCAAGGAGTAAGTAGGCTGCCATTAGGTTGGCCCTCTCCCACAAGATGGCGCCCCAGGCCCCGATGGGCTGACCGGCGCTGAGTGTGAGCCAGGGCTTAAATATCCTTGTTAAAGCAAATTCTAGGAAATGCATGAATCGATATTTTGGGATTATTATCATGCTCAGATTCTGATTGTGCCTTCAGCTCTCTTTACGGTCATTAAAAAGTATAAAAAGTCTCAAAATTGATTTGGTCAGGCTGATTAGTGGAATCGGGTGTCCCGGCCTAATTCCTAATGGCCCTGATAGCGTTTATTGTCAATGAATGGATCTTCTGTCAACCATTACATTTTCTGGATAATTACAAATATTCCACTTAAGAATCATTTTGTTAACATTTTTGATTATATAACAGCACAAAATTATTTAGTGCAATTTCAGCCCCTGGTTACGGTTTTCTCTGAATATGACTTGCGTTGGAGTTACTATGGTGATGAAGAGACTAACTCAATATTATAATAGACCGTTATGATGAAACTATTATTTGAAATGAACAAATTAAAATATTTAGGGGCTTGTATAGAGTATTAAACATTTTTGAAAAGACCTGCTGCAGGACTAGCAAAGCCATTCATCGTGTCAGAACAATAGACCTGCAGAGGGCCGCAGAGAGATTTGTAATATAAAAGCCATTTTGCTTCATTGTCAGAAACAGAAAAAAATAATGCATTGTTTACAGAGTTCTGATTCACAACAGGGAGGGACTCTCATCCGTCTGCTTTATCGAGCACAAGGTACGGCGACGGTTAATTAAACAGGCAGAAGTGCAGTGTTCTTAATTGACTGAGTTAATCGCGGTACGTGCCGTGAATAGTGGAGCGGAAACGGGAAGAATCCGCCAGAATCGCGTGTAAATAGACCCAGAAAGTCTTCCCCGAGTCAATTCGCTGGAGAGGGCCAATTTGCTGAGCTAAATGGCGTTAGGTGGAGGGGACTGGCTTCCAATCCCCCCAAACTCATAAACAATGCTGAAGCAGAACAGAGACACGCAGCATTTCCTGTCAGAGTCAGCGGCTGCCTTGTTTACAGCAGACACGGGAGTCTGGGCACACGTGACACTGAGTCCCATCAGTCGTTAGCGAGACGCTCCGAGAGTAACCTGACTGCACACTGACAGGCGTGGATCGGGGGTGACACACCACGGAACAGCAGCCCTGGGGTATGGGGTGGTATAAGTAGCAGGGCACAGGACAGGGCAATAGGGTGGGGGTCACTGGAGACAGCAGGACACAGGACAGGGCAATAGGGTGGAGGTCACTGGAAGCAGCACTGGCACAGGACAGGGCAATAGGGTGGGGGTCACAGGAAGCAGCACTGGCACAGGACAGGGCAATATGGTGGGGGTCACTGGAAGCAGCAGGACACAGGACAGGGCAATATGGTGGGGGTCACTGGAAGCAGCACTGGCACAGGACAGGGCAATAGGGTGGGGGTCACAGGAAGCAGCACTGGCACAGGACAGGGCAATAGGGTGGGGGTCACTGGAAGCAGCACTGGCACAGATTCAGTCATATGCATAAAACATTTCTCTATATATTTATATACGAATCAGTGCTTTTTGATTGCAAAGAGACCCGAGGCCCCTTTCAATGACTCAGTGAACAGGAAATGGCCCTTTAGAAATCAGGTCTATCTTGTTGTTAACAGAATACCAGCAGGGTTCATATAGCATTTGTCAATGGAAAGAAACCGCAACTGAAATGAAAATGATTACCAGCACCGGGCCGTTCGGCAGAGGCCGCTGTCTGATTATTACTACAGCTGCCGCTTAGTGTGTCTTTGTTCTGTTCTGCTGTGGCTGCCCCCCCATTCCCCCTGCAGTGGCTCCCGGTGCTGTTACCTCACAACCTTGGTCTTGTGGGTGCTGGCCTGCCTGTCCCACTGTCTTGGGGCTGCAGCCGCTGGAGCTGCAGTCTGAGTGTAATTCATCAAAGTCTGAGTGTGTGCATGTGTGTGTGTGTGCGCGCGCGTGTGTGTGTGTGCGTGAGTTTATACATGTCATTGGTCCCCACAATGTGATAAAGACCTGTCATTTTGACATTGCGGGGACCACCTTTTTGGTCCCCATAAGGAAACTCAGTTATATATAAATCTCTGAATGCAGTCAGAAAAGTAAAAATGTCTTAAGTCTCGTATTTTGTTTGGTTATTTATAGTGAAGGTTAGGGCTGGGCGGGGGTTAAGGATATCATTGTAGGGGTTAGGATTATTCCCATAGAAATGAATGGATGGTTCCCACAAAGGTATGAGTAGAAACGTGTGTGAGTGTGTGTGTGTGTGTGTGTGTGTGTGTGTGTTTGTCCCACATCTGTGCTTCTGCCTGCATGTATACACACACACATGGCTGTGTGTGTCTATATGACTGTGCCAATGCATCTTCTGCAAACGTATGTGTGTTCGGATATACCGAGTTACCCTGCTTGAGATTTTATTGTCAAACAGCAGCTTTACACTGACCTACATTTTAAAGAAGCCTTTAAGAACTTACTCTCCCTAAAGTGAACCTTCCAGTGTGACTTTTCTGCAGCACATAAAAACTCCACATTGAAAAAATCTTTCATAACTTGCAAATTTTCTTAAAACTGGGCTGTTTTTCAAACTGTCACATTATGCATATCTAATTTTCCTCCTGCATAATACAGTTTTCTATATATCTACTATGACAATATGATGTTCCCCTTATTCATCCTCATGGAAAGTAATCCGATAATCTACATCGTCACACTGGGCACTGGTATAGACTGCTTGCTTTTCAGTGTTGTGGAGATATAGGACTGGAGTTTGTTAGTTTAAGCTGATTAATGATCATTTTCCCTCTGGTTAGTGACCTCTGATGACTCACAATAAGTGAGTGAATCATTCTACATCACTGACATCATTGTCTTTTTTATAGTATGAGGTTATGAGGCGGCACGTGACCCACTGACACAGAGGCCAGTTCTGCCTCAAACCTACTGCACATTCTCACCCAACTGCAAGTCCTCATGACAGAGTGGGGGGGGGTCAAAGCCCCCTGCAGGTATCCTTTGGGATGCCTGACAGAAAAAGGGGTGAGGAGGGATTCTTCACAGTAACCGGAACACCAAGTGCAAGGGACTGTTGCAGCCAATGGATAGTTGTTTAGCTGATAAGAAAACTGTGTTTAAGCCATGGCAGTGCCTGTTACTGGCATCATGATCGCACCAGCCAAAGGAGAATCACAACCAAGAAGATGCCAGGACTGACAGATCTGACTCTCATAAGTACGGTGCTCAGCAAATTCTTCAGCGGATTACTGATTACCTTTTGTTCATTGTGTTAAACTAAGCATCGCTAAATGAGTATTAACATGCTTCTGGTAAATGAATAATTTATCGTATGTATTCATAAGTTTTACTCGCAGGATTTGCTTCTCTAATTAAGAAGCCAGCAGAGACACGGTGGTGAAACCCCAGATTAATGGTGAAATGTTAAGGAGTCGGCGTGGGAAGTGACACCCAGACAGTGTGGAGTCAGTCATTCCCAGTGCAAAAACACAGCTAACAAACTGGATTGCTAACTAAACAGGCATTCTAGGGAGGGATTTGCCTCTGTGTGGCAGCCATGAGGGGAACTGCTTTTATTTTATAAGTGGGCAGAAACTAGCAGTGGTTTTCTCAGGGGACACCAAGCTGAGATGTGGCGTGCATCCCCAGCAGTCTATGCACTCCTCCTCCAAGTCTACGTGGTGTTGGAGCAGAGGGGCGTCCTTCACCACGCTCTCATTCGGCAGAGCCACGCTGAGGTGGCCCACCAGTGATCCAACAGCTTTCTGAACCACGCCAGCAGTCATCAGCACCCCAGGTCTGAACAGCTTAGATTACTGCTCAGGACCTTGGAGATACTCATCATGGAAGAATCACCTCACTTCCAGCTGAAGAATTTCACTAAGATTTCCAGCTCTGTTCATCCCGTACTCACGCCGAGTGCTTTCTGCACTGTTTCGTGCTTTGTATTCCCTGACCGTGCTCTGAACAGTACAACAAACTCACAGATTTTTTCACCCGTGGTGCTGATACTTGTTTCAGTACTTAGAGGTGATTCTCAGGATAACGTGGTAATTTGGCAGGGTGGGAACCTGGATGAGCAACCAAATCACTGCCTGAGCAAATCCCTGCTAATGCAAAATCACGTCAGCTGGCGGAAAAAATAAAATTATAAATGATTCCATGTCAGCAGATGTCTGCAAACAAATAAAAAAGGATTAAGATGTCGGCGCAGCAATGAGCTCAGATTCACAGCAAGGCTTCAAAACAATTAATCCACCAGTGTGCAATTTGCTGGGATATAATTTGTGCTGCTGTTTGATGAAGCAGGTAGTGTAGCTGTTAATGGCAGAGACGTGTAAATGAAAAGGTGTTGGTAGCAGTGCCAGGAGAAGCCTTTCTGCAGGATACGGGCCGTTTAAAGCAACTGCTCAAGTATAAATATCTTTCTGTATTAAGGGCCAGATAGATGTGTCATCACAGATTGACAGGCACACTCAGCGGCCTCATTATCTGGTATCCCGGTGTAGTACCTGGTTCTACCCCCTTTTGTCTTCAGGATCACTTCAAGGGTTGCTGATCTGTTTGCGCGTAGATGCCTTTCAGCTGTTATTTTTGCATCTGTGGCCCTCCTGTGAGCATTAAATGGTCTGGTCAATCTCCTGTACCCTCATTAAAAGGTATTTTTGGCAAAATAATTACCATGGACTGAATGTTTTTTTATCGCACTATTCTCTGGACTCCAGACACCGAGGAATGCGAACATCCCAGAAAGCTGTTCCTGAGATGCTACTCAGCCGTTTGAGGCTCATCTGGACGTTACCTGAACGTCCTCTGCATGCTGCATACATTCAGTCAGCAGGCTGATTGTGTTAAAGACCAGGTGTAACTTATAAAGCGCGACAGAGTGCAGTTTACCTCATTTATGGTGCGTCTGAAATCACAAACATGTTTGCTGTGTAGTATGAGAAATATAGTAAGCAAAGTGAGCAGCAGGCCAGCGTTCCCCGAATGACATACTGCTACGTCCTGCGAAATTCCTGAGTGTGTAACCGATGGACACTACGCTATCCCACAAGGCCACTGAAGTGGGGAAGATCATCACTGGCTCATACATTTTTGTGAAGATGGTGAAGAATGTGCCGCATATTTACAAATTAAAGTAGAAAACGGTGCTGTTTTTAACTTCCTGGAGCTGAAGCTACATCACTGGTGAACATCTAGGTCAGGCAAGATGGTGACTGCAACACTGTTCTCACACATACTGTACATACAGTTTGTACTACATTAATGGTTGTGTAGTAGGCTTCTAATGAAATTTGGTACCTACTGTGTAAATAAGTGATTTTGGATGCACCTGTTATTCAGTCCACCTGAGCTGGTTCTGTGTCGACCGTATTGCAACAGCAGCAGGATTCAGCAAAAAGGCCAGCCATTAAACATGATCTGCAGGTTACTAATCGCTATGGCACCCGATGGTCTTAAGCTCTGCACTCATTAGATCTAGAAGCTTCTGATGTGATCAATATTAATAACAAATGAGAAAATTAATCTCATCAAGGGTAAACCCTTAAATCAAATTATCTGGCAAAATGATTGTTACTGGTGATGCTGGTGATACAAATGCTTTTATAGAGGTCGAATACAGAGGCAATTCCAGTTAATTGGCTTTCTCAAGGGTATAACAACATGACACTTGCAGACAGCAGTACTGGACAGCTACCATCCATCCCCATGTTACCTGCCACCCTGCATAAGTCACCACTTTGCCTGGAAAGACTGCCCCGCTCCTTGGCAGGGGGGAAACTGGCCCCTTTGCTTACGTTCAAACTGAATTCAAATTAAAATACTCCTTTGTTCAGCGACTCAGCGCCTATTTGAAGGTATTCATCGTATGTGTTCCCTAAATCTACTCAATTACCTGATATAAGGGACTGATGACAAAAAAAAGCAACAAACCCCATAGGACAGCGGACCAGAGCCCAAATGTCACTGGCTGTTAACGGCAGAGAGGCTGAATGTCTCCCTGCTGCTTTGACTGGTGACTCATCCAGAGAAATGAACAGTGAGGAAAAGTGGGTGTCATTTAGCTTGTACTAATGGGGGCTACTGAGGGCTGAGGAAGCCAGCTAACCCACACTCTAAGAGAGGTTCCTTTAACTTTAATTCGTAAACGAGACAAGAGTGTCAGGCCCTCATCTGGCAGTTCATGAAGCCAAGCATGTCTTCTCCACCCCAGGGAAAAGCCCTTTGTGAGAAACATCCATCTCTCCTTGTTTGTCTTTCCTCATAAAACAATACTGTTCTTGCTCCTCCCCCCACCACCAGCAGAAAAGCAGCACAGAGATAAACAGTAACTCCAAAATCATCTACAGTGCAGTGCAAGTCATCTGCCACTTTACACGGCACTTCTGGAGAAATGACTGACATCTCAGTCTCCCTATCAGCGATAGTGGTCCTAAATTTCTTAGCTGAACCCATCCGATCTGCAGCGATTTTCCAGGCAAACCATAGGCTCAGGCTGGGGGGGGATGTAGGCAGGCCTTCACAAATCCCACCCCCACTAATTTCTGCCTGAGGTAATGTCTCCTGGCAGCTGGAACCCATGTTTGTTGCTATAATGGAGGCAGAGCACAATAAATCCCATCTCTGCTCAAATCACCGTCTACAGTAATTTCCTGTGTCAACCCATGATGGGACAGAGGCAGGGCTGCCCAAATACTTCCCTGAATGACATCAGCTACCACCACAGTCTCGTAAAAAGAACGATTCCAGAGGTTGAGCTAAAGCTCGGCTCAACTTAATGAACGCACGGCTAATTCACCTGAGATTAATGAATTTACTAATTGCTTATAGGACATTCAACATCTCATTTATATAATGCTCTTTGTTTACTTTAATCAAATCGGTCTTAGCTTACAAGAACATAATAGATGGGCACATGTTGCTAAATTAAGGCTAAAGACTTTACACCCAACAATTACTGCAGTGAATCCATTCAAATGTCATTTAGTGGTACTACTGATAGCATACAAACGTATCGGAACTGGAACTGAAGTAAGGAAACCACATAAAAAAGTGCTTCCGTTCGCTGTGTTAACTGGGCATAGTGTTGAGTGGACAAAAGCATCCAGTTTGGGATGTGTGGGTGTAACATTTGATGGTTAATCAGCTGATAGCTGATCCAGTGTTTGATGTCGCTAACAAGGCGTGAATCCTGCCTGTTCCCCTCTGCCTATTATTGACTGCGCTTGATAGTTATGTTTTTTGTAGTTTTACTCCTGACATATTTATCTTGCTTGTTGATAATGAGCTGGGCTGAATTAAAGTTTTTTTTTTTATCCCAGGTTGCAGACAACACTTATTATGTATGTCTGCGGTTTTAGCTGTCAACCTTACATCGATTCCCGGAAAGGTGATTATACCACTGAATGCTAAACTTGATTTTATTTGTGTGCACAGAGAAGAACTCTAAAGGCCACCAAGGTACAAGAAAACCTGTAACTGCTTTTACTAATAAGATGCTCCAGGGGACATTTACACCAGTAGATCTAATCTTTCAGCTTAGAAATAGATGCTGTTATACTAGGAGAGTCTGGACCAGCTGTAAATCCATTTGAAACCATTGAAAAAGATGCACTGCTTTCGTCTGAAATTTCCATAAGGGGCCATATATCACAGTGCATTGAGCATGCAGTGCTGCTAACGGTTTCATTGTACTTGGATAAATGGTAACGAGCGATAGAGGCTTACCTGCAGAGCGCATCCGAGCGGCAGATCCGCCGCAGCTCCAGGCAGTTGGGTTTGGTCCGTTCCTCGTAGGAGCAGGAGGGCACGATGGTCTGGCGGCGGCGCTCAGCACAGGCCTGGTCGCGGCAGGGGCAGAAGAGCAGGCGGTAGCTGTGCTCGGTGGGCACGCGGTCCAGGAACTGCCTCAGCGCCTTGTGGCAACGCTTACGGTTGCACTGCTCGATGGTGGAGGGCGGACGCCCGCCTCCGGCGCCCCCTGCTGCCGCCGTGGCCTTGACGCACACGGAAATGTAGAGCGACCGCATCTTCTTGCACGTGTCGTTCAGGTTGCAGGCCTTGGCCGCGTCCAGGCAGGGGTTGCAGGGCCGTGCCGAGTCGGCACACGGGTTGCCTTTCACAGTGGCTGAGTCCATCCCTGCCACCGAGAAAACAGACGGGATTTTAAAATCCACCACGATGGACTGGCATCCCCCGTTCACGGTGCGCCCTGCCGGCTGCGACCGGCTCCAGGCTTCAGAAGTGGACAGAGATGGTTTATGAATGGACGAGCAGTTGAGGAAGTTTCAGTAGCTTAACAGATACATACAGCGTTAAGAAAATTCAGCTTCCCGGGTTCTCAAACCTGGAACCATTTAATCACATTTTTTAGATTTCAGTGCAGTTTTTACAGCTTGGCCGAGGAACGCCCTCAAGAAAGTGGGAAGAGTATTTCCCAAGGCTGTCCCTGTCAACTTTCCTTAACACCTGTTTTGGTGTCACATGGGTGGTAACCTAGGTGGTTAATGAAATATTTACAAGGGAAAAAAACAAGCACCGTGGGAATTTGGAATTGTACAATAAAAGTACCTGACCAGATGCTTCCCCTGAGGTTTGCTGTGAGAATGCTGTGCACATAATGTGTATTACCTCCTGACACATAAGTACAAGATGGTTTTGCATCCTTTCCCACCTCTGTAAGGTCCTCTGCGCCTGTCTAACCTATAAACACGGCAGTAAGCGGAAGTGAGGCTTTTAAGGAGCGGAGCACACACATCCTCAGGTGCGCTGCCCTCTTCCTTCGCTCAGGCTCAGAATCGCCTCTCAGGATACCACTCAGAGGAGCACAGAAAGGTAGAGTAATTACAACAGCTGCTGCAATGCTCCTCCGCGCTGCGGGACGGCTGAACCCAGAGGCGGTGGGGGAGACAGGGGCAAGAGACAAGGCTGTTGCTCTTCTCCCCAAGATAAAAAAAAGGAAGCGAAGAAGAAGAAAAAAAGAAGGTTCTGCAAGTTTTACACATCTGGTATAATCCCAAGTCTTACATGCAAGGTCGCCTGCACTTAAAACACTCCCGTTTGCTGACCTTGGCGGCTGATGCCGTATTCATGCACAGGGAATTCTATGGAACGTATAGAGTGCAAAGGAACCATCTTGGGCTTAATTTTAATTGGCAGTGCCTCAAGACAGATGGTTTGACGTGATACAGAGAGTAGTCCCAATCTGAGACATAATTAAATTTTAGGCTGCGAGCTGTAATTACTGATGCTAGGGCTGTTACAGCGGCAAAAGATGGATGAATTGTAGACTGTGATTGGAGTTTCAAGTATCCTCCTCATCTTCAGGAGGCAGAGAACAAAAGGAGCAATGAAGAGAGTGTTATTTGTTTGCCAAGTATGTTTTTATTAATCTAACTGGTCTGGATTTTTGCAGAGCTGGATTGATCACTGCAGGGTCACAGTGAGCTTGGAGATTATCCAAGGAGGCACTGGGCACAAGGCAGGGGACACTCTATACAGGATGCCAGACTCAAGCACAGTGAGAACTTTAGAGACAGCAGTACCCCCGTAATTAGTCTACAACGGGAATCCCATGCAAACGTCATACACAGATCCACAGCCTTGATCCAGTGAGGCTTTAGAACCATGTACTTTGTTAGTCCGGTCTAAGATCCTGATCTAACAGCTCTGCCTGAGTAAGATTAATGGATGTTACCAAAACAGCAAGATGCTGAAGCAGTGGAGTGAGCATCCTACAGCTATAGGCAGTGGGGCAATTTGGATTAAACGGCTTCCAAGCAGCTGTAAATCCTGCTATTTTGTGGAGAACCCAGCAGTTTGTCTGCATCTGGGTTTGTTGTCTTTAGCTCTTTGCAGCGGAAGCTGTTTAACTTGTTCACGTTTAGCATTCCTGAGTGGCTGGCTTGAGTGCACAGAGCTCCCATAATTCATTATGAATGTTCTTTTTTCAGGTTCCCTTTCTTCCTCTGCACTCTTTACGACGACTCCCTCCCCCCCCCCCCCCCCCCACCTCATTCAGCTCCCTCCTACAAAATTATTGCCCATTTTAAGGTTACTATTGCAAGGCCTGTGGGGGAAACCGTTACTTTATAAGCCCACTTTGGGTACTTTGCCGCAGCAGAAATGTCGTTATTCACACTCTGCTGCTGAGGAAGACGTCTCGGGACGCTGCCCATGTTTGCCGCCTTCTGCTGCAGCCCTGCTCACTGTTTGGCCACGTCGATGGCAAAAGTCTCACACCATCAAGATGTTTTCTCCTGAAGAGTCTGTGGATGAGGCAGATACTCTGTGGATGTTTGTGTAACACAGAATTATTTGATTAAAGGCAGTAGCGCAACGCTGGGAGCCTGTCCTTGGGTTTTCAGTGCACATATACAAACAGAAAAGCCTAGAATAAAGTCAATTACTGGATGTACTGGATTTGCTGGATGCTGGATAAAAAAAAAAAAAAGCTATGTAATTTTGAGCTTAATCCTAGATTTGAAATTTCACTAGTTTGTCAAATACAACTCTCTAAGCTCATTAAAGCAGTAATTTCACCCAGTTCAGTTTTGCTGTTGACGTTCTCGTTGTCATTTCTGGGTCATTGTTGCACAGTTGGGTCATTGTTAGAGTGTTCTGTGGTATAATTGTTATTTTATAGCACACATTCTTTACTTTTTGACTTCCACAATGTTCTTTTTTCCCCCCAAGAGGTTTATTATTAACCAATATGTCACCCTTAGGTGCCCCCTTATCTCATAATTGCATTTACAGTACAAGGTTGCAGTGAGCTTGGTGTCCTTATCAATAAGCTAAGGGCACAAGGCAGGGATGTCCGGGTACGATACTTGCCCATTTCAAGGGACAAACGAGGCACGTACTGTAATGTACTCAAAAGGACATTTTGAGACACCATTTTACTTGAAAGGCTTTAGTCTTAGGACTAAAAGGAAACCAGAGAAGGACCCTGTTTGAAGACAAGGAAAGTTCCTTGCACACTGTAAGGGGAGGAATCGAACCTACGTCCCTGGGAATGCTGCCCGCCACACCTGCTTTCAGTGCAAACCTCTGTAACCAATGCAACGACACAAACTCTTCAGCTGCAATGAACATTCCGGACCCTCAAAATACGCTAAGATTCATTAGCTGCAACTGACACTGAACAAGTATTCAAAGACGGGTGCAAACCAGGATAAAATGTCAACAGCGACAGCATATGCCCATCACAATGGCCTCAATGAAATGGAACGTGTCAAACACTGGCATACCCACAATAACACAGAAGCCGAATAACAAACTGCAGCCCTTTGAGTCAGAGACTTTGGTGAATTGTCCGTTAGCAGGCATTGGCATTAGCCAATTAGCGCCTCGGCGGGCTGCCCTGTTAGATGCCTGACAGGAGCTGTTTTTCACAGAGTCCTTCCCGGCAGCCCTGCTGTGTGTGTGTGTCGCATTTAGGTTGAGAGGATCCAATTTGGAAACTGCCTCACGTTGAGCTTCCTGTGCGTTGGCACACGGCTCACATTTGCAGGGAACACGTCTGGTACCGCAACGAGGCACTGGAGGCAGAAGTCAGCCCCGTGACGATGAGATTTATTAGGCTTTTCCCAGCAGAGTTTCCCCAAATGGAACAAGGTGAAAATCAAAGTTAAGCCTGAAGCTTCTTACTTGCAATGTATTTGTAAGCTTCCATTTATATTAAATGCTATAATAACTGTCAATTTAGAAAAAAAAATTGAGACATACGGTTTTATTACAGTTTTTCCGAAAGCAAACAGAGGGGGGGCCCTTGTCCCAGCTGGACATGGGCATCCCTGTTGCTTTCTGGAGTCTGTGCCGTCCCTCTAAGTGGCGGGCAAGTCGGCAGGCAGGTCTTTCGAATTCAGACACGAAGCAATTAAACAGAATGAAGATGAACTAGCATTTTGGTTCGTTCAGCTCCAGCATGAACCGCTCTCTGCCTCTCGACAGTCAGAGAGTGGGTGTTCCCAGAGCGTAACTCCCCACCACGCGGTCTGCGGTTCTGAAAAGTGATTAAAATTTGAATTTAAAAGCCAGCAGGTTATCAGCAGAGCAGTCAGCAGTGTATGGCATCTCTCTGGGGAGTTCGACAAGCATGTTTTATTTGTCCGAGGTCTGACGCGAAGCCCCCTGAATCAGACCCTTCCAGGTACAAGCACAGCAGGAAAACAGGCAAAAAATGGGGCGTCTACGTGGACGGAGGACTCAAGTACGGCTGACTGTTGGAGGCGGGGGATGGGAACCAAAACAAAGGAGCCAGGAGAGCAGGAGTGAAAGACAAAACTAAATAAATTACAGAACCATAACTACACATATGGAAACAAGACTCTGACAGGCACGACAGGAAATGAGACTGCCGCAGTCACAATGGGAGCTCAACGTCTCGTCCTCCAAGAGCAGCAAGACTAACCCCCAAGCAAAGCCTGCTGTTCACTATAAACCACAATTTAGTTTATTCACTTATTTGTTTTTTTCGCATCAGTTTATTTTAAAGAGACAGATGCCTGCTAGCTATTTCTGTAAGAACTATAAATGAATTTCACTGCTCATACTCTGTACAGCACATACAGTTCAAAGTAACTGGTAGATTTGGTAACACTGCAGGCCATGGTTTTGCTGATTTATAAATGCATCCATAACAAATAATAATGCACTTATAAATCATTATAAACATGGTTATAAATATTTATCAAAAGGCATAACACATTATAGCCATGTGAAGCTCTCATCTATAATGCACTATAGATACTTTTATAATGCATTATAATGGCTGGTACAAGGTATCTATAGTTCATTATACAGTAGATGAGAGCTTCATAAGGCAGTCATAATGCATAATAAACATGGCTATATCGTGTTATGCCTTTTTATAAATATTTATAGCCACGTTTTAGTAGTTTATGAATGCGTTATAAGGCATTTTGAATGTCTAAAAACGTCTAAAGTGTAACCGAAGATTCCTTTGAAAATGCCCAAAAAATCAGGACTGAAAATTAGAACATACCCCAGATATGTCACAGAAATACATTAACCATTCCGAATGGCATGTGAACAGTTAAAACACCTTGAAAATCACATGATATTCTCCAAAACTGTAGGTTTCACAGTATGAATGGAAGGTTTAAAAACACATCT